CATCGCGGCCGCCCCCGGACCCGCTGGTCCATCCGTACGCGTACTGGCCAGTGTTACCGCCGCCTACTCCGGTAGGCCCCGCGGTCCCAAAGCCAAATGAAGCGCCGCCGTCCGGAGCCGAGCCGAATCCCCATCGGTAACCCCATTCCCCTTCCTGGCCCGACCCGGATCGGAAACTCCAACCGCCACCACCATTTCCAGCTCGGCCGCTACCGCCGCCTTGATTCGCCATCTCTTCCCAACTCTCCTCGATCAGATCTCCGAGGGATAAAGAGGCGTACAGTCAGCTTTATTGATCGCCATTACTTCCATTTGAAGCACCGACTTCAAAAAGTCTTCTTTTTTTTCTTTTTCTTTTTAATTGCTTCATTGATATCTAAGTGATCAACGCATTATACCTATTTTAGTTATCCAATTTTTTTAAGTTGTAAATATCTGAAATATTTGATTTGCAGTTATTTTTTAAATAATATTATTTTTTAATGATAAATTAGTCTTAACGAGCCGGATTAAAAGACTTTCTCCAACATAATTCTGACTCCGACGACACCAATAAATTAAGAAAAAAATTTGAATGGAGATTTCGTGACAATTATGTATTTACATATAATATTTGGAGATTGTATTGATACTTATTATACTTCGATATCATCACATGAGGATGAGATGTGATGCGTGTCAGAAAATTCGTAGCGATAGAGTAATGAATTATCGTCTTAGCGTTGTATGAGAAATCAACACACACAGATAACAGAAGAAAAGTAAGCATAATGAGACACATCGACCTTTTACTTGGAAAACCCTTGAAAGAGGAAAAAGCCACGGGGCCTAGCCCAGTTAAAATAATCAACTATGAATGATGACTACACAGGTACATTCTTCCTCTAAATTAGGGAAGATGAAATTACAAAGTAATATAACTATAATCTGACTATAGCTCTTGGTAATAGCAGGTTGCAAATGTCATTGTTGATTGTTGTGGAGGTAGTAATCCATCGTGAGTGTTGTAGATGGCTACTCCAGAAGTGTTGATTGGTCAAAGAAACTGTAGTAAACAGTTACGGGAGTTGTGGACCACATAAGCCGTAGTGGCCAGTATGAATGACATCCGTAAGTCGCGGCAGTTAGAGTCGAGAGCTGCTCGAGCTGTGTTGGTAACACATGGATTGTAGTGATGAGCTCATGTCTTACGACGATGACTGGCGGTGTCTGGTTGGTGGTGATCGGCGATGATTGGTGATGATCGACAGTGACGGTCTACAGTGGATAACGGCGATCGACGAGTGTCGACGACGACCCGACGATGGCCAATGACAATCGACGGTCGGGATGGTGTTAAGCTTCAGCTTCTTCTTAGAGCTTCCAGTTCTCTCTGAAGCTTCAAGTCTCCCTTCATGTGAAGGGTGAGGCTCTATTTATAGTGTTTTGGGTGTCATTAATGCATGAATATGAATCATTTTGATCGGACGGTCCAAAGAGCTTCTTCCAATCAAACGACGTTTAATGGACATTTGAGTGCCTTAATGATATCAGAATTCAGTGATCTTGGCTTGTTGGATTTGTCTTGTCGAGCCGCTCGATTCGAGTGTAAACTTGTCATATTCAACAACTCTTTGATCTTCTAAATATGTCTAAAAATCATCTAAGTGTGATTCAATAACTTGATCTGGGCTTGATTTGATTCGAACTGGGCTAATTTTCATATCATTAGGTCTGTCTCATCAAGCCGGTCAGTTTGACTATAAGTTTGCTGAAATCGGAGCTTTGGATGAATTTTTATCAATATTTGAATATTTTATGCTTAAAATATCATCTCGAGATTGTCATGCCTCGAGATTCGTGCTGAATGATGAAAATTTGTTGGTTGCTTATCAAGATGCATGAAACATTATATCTTACTTTAAAAAATTAATAATAATGATGTTGTTTAGATAATCTTAAAGAAATGTGCGATATTTAAAATCATCAAAAGATCCTTAATACTCTGTTTTTTCTTTCCCCTTATAAAAAGGAAACTAGAAACTCAGGAAACAAACAACAACCTTAATAAACACGACATGCTTCAATATAGATATCATCGCTTCCATATGCCTTATTGGTAATGACGAACATCAACATTAATACCAACACTAGACAATGATAATAGTATCGATATTGGTCGTCAAACTTGTTTTGGTGAAGATGAATAACATTTGTGCGTTTGCCAAAATGATATGCATGAGTTTCATAGAAACATAGAAACGGTCAGCATTGATATCAATTATGCACATTGATTTTATTGATGATGATGGGAGTTAATTTTATTGAAGACAAGGAGCAACAAAGTTAATAAGTGATGGTGTTTATGATAAGCGTCAACCTTATTAGCAATCGCCAAGTTTAATGCTAATGTCGGGGCAACACAATCAATAGATGAGTTGATATTAGGAGACATAATTGGGTGGCAATGAACGCCTATCAATTTGCAAGTGAATTAATAAAACGAAATATCAAGCAATCAATATCAAAAGATTGTACTTGAGCAACAATGTTTGGTAGACAATAGTTGTGCCATTGTGATGTATGCTTTTACTTATTAATGATCACCAATATCAATTAGACGACAAAGTTATAAAGATTCTTCACATACAAATTTTCTCCCTCCTTAGTCCCCATTACATGAAAAATAAAAAGACATTAATAGATTTCTAGAGTGCCATTTCAACATTTTTTATCAACAATCTGCAAACACTCCGTCGAAAGGCCAACATTAATTCACTTAGTCACAAATGACTTTTTAGATATTTTAATATCATAATAAGATGGAAATTAAGAAATCTTAAGCTCATTATATTGCTCTCATTAAAATGCACTATAACACCATGCATGCAGAAGCTATAGATCATCTGAACTTTTAAACAATGATATTAACTTACCAATTGTATTTAAAGTGCTTGACAAGTAATCCTTCAAACTCAAAATTAAATTATTCAGATAATTACATCCAGATTATCCAAAACATTGAAATTTACAAATTAACAGCTCAAATGATTTTTGAATATATTTGCACTTGTCACGATCAAACTATTAATTTTTTTTATCAAAAGTAAAAATAAGAGTTGGTCATCCACTACAAATTTTGATAATTCCGTGAATTCGAAAAATGAAGGAAAAAGGGTGATTGATTGGTAAATGGCATATACCCGATGGTCTGTACATCCAACTGAAATGCTCATGAAAACAGTTTGAATGATCCCCAATTCAGTCTTAAAAATTTAAATTCAATAATTTCATTAAATTCTGTTTTATCGAACGAAATTTTTCAATTAAACAAATAATATAAATAAAAGAATAAAGAAGATTAATATCACCGATTTCGATACATTTCAAATAAAACGTAGGCGCACACTATTTCGTCAAAAGTAATTAGAAACGAAAATCGATTTTTAATTCCAAAAATTTCTATATATATATATATGAA